GCGTCGAAATCGGCCGAACATGACGTCACTCTGACGTCATTTTCGGCCGATCTATGGTAGGTACGAAGTTCAAATTTTGACACAAGGTGTCAAATTGATGCAGCCGAAGGTACTGAAGGTTTGGCGTCGATACGTCAAGCGGTTTGGAAGTTATTGCAGAAAAACGGGAGGGGGGCTATAAATAGCCCCCCCCAGTAGTGGGTCGCGGGTTAAGCTTTTAAGTGTTGAAGATGCGATCGACTTGTTGTTTCACAAGCCGGCCATGATCGTGTAAAATGGCTTCATCGTAGATCGATTAGTTTCTGAGATATAGCCGGAAATGTAAAAGTGAAAAACCTACCGCTTAATCTCGCGAGAGCCGTATGTACGGACGGTCAGTCGGTCGGTCAGGGTCACTCTCGGTCAGTCGGTTCGGTTGGTCACTCTCGGTCGGTCGTTTGGTCTTTTGGGTCAGCAACGGTGTGCAAATTTTCAGTTTTGTATAAATAAATTTAGTCGATATTGACTGGAGTGTGCCATAATAGAATAGCAATTGTAATAAAACACTAAACTAAGCCTTTCAGTAAGGAAACTGTCAGATATCATCAGAATATTGTGAAAAAAGAGCAAACAATGATGTAATGATTTGTGATAATATGGTCATAGGCAACTCATGATTATGTGAAATATAAAACGGTAGGTTTATTCACTTCAATCATAAACTAAGAAAGGTTGAACAGGTTTCGCAGCAATGGAGGGAAATCGTCAAAGGAATTAAAAAGAAAATTATCCACAAGATCATTGCTTACGGTATAGACTAACCCTTTGTCCCAAAAGTGTCACGGTTAAAGCAAATCCATTGCTCCAGCGGTTAAGTTGAACATGCACAACTTTTTCAAGGCATAGGTAAGCGGGCAGTGGACGTTCTGCCAGGTCAGCCGATTCCAGCACCACGTGGCTGCTGCCCACACATCCCCTGGTATGGTGGCCGGCTGGCCGTTTGTACTGTTTCCCAGTCTCACCACATCCTAGAAGCCGGCAGTTAAAGGCCTCGCCCTTCGCTCCGCCGCACCGGACAAAGGTTGACCGACCTTCCAGTCTCGCCGGCCGACCGCGACCATCCCGTGACCGGTGCAAGCTCCCCCGTCCCCGACCGGTGCAAGCTCCCCGTCCCCCGCACCGCAGCTGCGCCGGCCGCCGCGCCGCACCGCCGCTCCCCTCCGCTGACCGGCGTTTGAAATTCTCTATTTGGTGATGTGGGGGCGGACCGGTGTGCCGCCGGGGCGATAGCCTTTGTCAGTGTTGACGAGCGGAGGCGATGCGGCCTGAGATAGCCGGCCCTGCGCGGGTCGCCGTCGGCGCGCGCGGCCGTGAGCCGTTCGTGAGTCGTGAGTCACGGTTGCGCCAGACGCGCTGCTCAGACGCCGCCGACACGGGCGGGAGCAGCGGCCGTTGCGTTCAAACGGGAAGTGGGCGACGGAATTGGACGGCTGGCCAACGGCTGAGAGCACCATCAACATTCAACAGTCAACTGAACCGGCCCTAAATGATGAGTCAAGTCAAGTTAGCTGAATGTGCAACTGCCAGCAGCGATCGAATTCGTTGCCCTTTGTATTATTTAGCAGGAGCTGCCAATTCATATAGAAACTTTCAGGGCTTATTCCTTCCCGTGATCGATTAATAAGCACCTTTCATAGACATAACCCGCTCTCAATGTGGCGGCAACTGGTAAAAATTTAAATAGTATTATTGTATTCAGGACAATTAGTTTTGTGTATCTACATCACATTTTTTCGAGCTCTGCGATAGCGCTTCTGTTTGACGATCAAATATACCATATGCAGAAGTTATAACTGAAGCTAATAATACGCATCACAGTTCAACCGATTCCTGAAAGTATCAATCGCACTTTGTGCCTCTTATACCCTAGATATACATAGGTATGCTTTAGGTATATAGGCTTTAGGTATGCCTAGATTTTTCTTCCAGTCGAAATAAAACAAATTTCCGTTGGCGTCTTTGCCTTGCTTGACATCTTGAACCTGATCTTAATTCTTAAATATACCTACATATACCTACGTATAGGCACTACATTTGTTTACATAGATCTAACCGTTAGCGGTTAAATGATCACTAATCGTTAGCAGCCGTTCGACCGATATTGATCAAACATTTTCGTTGTAGGTAATTGATCGACATCGATTAAACAGACGCTAGGTATAAACAGACACCACGCTCTCTATGCCATCTGCGTGGACTGTGCCACCTTTTTGAAGCAAAAAATAACCCCAGTCTTCCCTTTAGGCACTGACGTATACCTATACGAGTTCCCGAATACTCATGTGTACCTACCTAGGCACTAGGCATAATAGGCAGTTGAGTCTTTCCATGTGCGTGGAATATCGATGCTTTGATAGGAAGTGACTGCGAAAATTACCTGGCCACCGTTTTGTCGATTGCATTGCATATTTCGGACGTCCCAGTGGCCGAGCCCAGGGCATACTGACCCAGTCCGCACTGCAGCACAACTGACCTCACCAAACCGCCGACCTCAGGTCAAAGCCCCGACCACTCTCACCCCAGTGCAGTATCCAAGAGGCTGCAGCCGCTGCCGTGTGGGCGCACGCACAAAGCCAGCCTTGCCGCTGCACCGTCACGCCAGATAAATAGCCCTGTCGTCCCTGCTGGCGGTCTCTCGGGCCCGCTTCCCCTTGTGCCGCCCCTGCGTTAATCTGTGCCCCATTCGCCGCACCTCGCCGCCCCCACACTTGATACGGCCTTTGTGCCCTGTTCAGTGTGAGATGAGCTTCGGCATTTACAACTGGAAGAAAACGGAGCCGTCTTGTTCAAACGGTTCACCGTCTCGTGGCCCTCCGCTTCTGATTATCATTGGTCCTTTGTGTGGTAACTGCGCTAGCCCAATTTCCGCTTAACAGATACACAGTTATGTGGCATAGGTAAAAATATCTATATTTCTGAAAAGTGAATGGAATGTAGGTATATTATTTCTTATAACCTACTAATGCGTGCTCGGCGCTCGCTCCCTGCATCAGGCATCACTTCCTTTCATTTATTATAATTATCTATGTTTCTAAACAGTTCTTTTTGCTCGTTCTAGAGTAAAATATGCTCCGTTTCGTTTAAATTTCTTTGTTTCTATTGTTTAGACAAGGGAGAAGGGGAATTTAACGTAGGAACATGGCAGGATACCTGGTGGATAGCTGGCGAAACAGGTTCCTTGTACGTAGGAACTTGTTTGTCTGCTAAGAAGGACAAAACAAGCCCTCACATTTTTTATTTATGAGTTTGGCTGCTAGTGTGAAAAGGCGAGCCAGTAAACGTGCCATAAACATCGCAGCTAAAATATTTTCAGATACGTCATCCTAATCTACTGATGAAATGAGTTGTAGTGCAGAAAGTCGTTAAAAAGATGCTGTTGGAGGCGCCTTGTCAAAATTTATGCTCGTACCTATTTCATAGACTATAATAAAAGCACATGAAAATAAAAAGAAATGAAAACAACGACACAAAAAGACAAAAGCACCATTTTCGCTTTGCGCATTCGCTCGTCTCCGAACGAAGTTCGTCAAGCCAGAGCGAACGAAGCCAAAAAATCCATTTGTGTTCATTTTTATTCGATATAAAAGTTTAGAACCTAATAGCGTAGGTATATTTATGAACGCATTGTGCCTAATTATTCTGCGAGCACCTAAATTCAGGCGAGTGTGAATATATTCCTGCCCGGGGCCGGGATGATTCAATAAATGTCACCGAGGTTTTTTAGCGAAAACTCCGAGGGCCGTTAGGCCCGAGGTGAGTTTGCTAAAAAAAAAAGCGAGGTGACATTTATTGAATTCCCGGCCTTAGGGCTGGAAGGTGTTTCCCATACCTGTCAAAAAGCTCACAACGTATGATAGTGACGTCAGCAGCCGTGTGGTTCAACGTGTTTAACCACACCCCTTGAACCACACGGCTTGTAATATTAAAGCATTGCATTAAACTTTGAAAAGTGTGGTACAGTGCACGTGCCGTTTAAATGCCTAGATGTCTCGATTTAATCATGCAATGTAGCAGGTATGGGAAAGATTACAAGCATATATTGAAAAAAGCACCCCGCACCTTGAACTGCATGGGTTTACCTAATGTCCCGCTCCCGATTAAACGTTACCTATGTCGTTGCATATTTTTATTATCATAAGCATATTTTACATATATCTCATATATATAATAACTCATTATATTAAGCTTATGTACACAGTGTGTCTACATGAGGCTCGTCAACTTTTCTCAACATTTCCTTCTGAACTCTGAAGCAAACACGGCTGGCTGTCCCGAAGAGGCCGAGGGAGATATTAGACAACGACCCGATTTGAAGGCTAGCCGCCTGCTGGAACATAGAGAGGGAGAGGGAGAGGGAGAGGGAGAGGGAGAGGGAGAGAGAGAGGGAGAGGGGATAGTGTGTTTTTTATGGTTTAAAATGCCGAGTTTATTGAGAAGAGTAGGCACCCCCTGCGATCAACGCAAGCGAGACCTATGCGTCCGACCCAAAATTGCATCACTTTATACATGGGGTTGGCATAATGGAAGCGAAATTGTTGGACGCTCAACTCCCCGCCCCCCCCCCCCCTCGTAGCGGACGGAGCCCCTGCCCCCTGCTTGAGAAGCGGTCCCCTCGTTCTTCCGGCCTTCTCCTGCGTGCCTCTACCCAAGATACCTATAAGAAACCCTCTACCGGCCGCCCTGCTTCCGACAAATCAATACCGTTGCCTCGCGCCAAACAGCTGTAGAATCAATGGATCACCGCAGATTCTTCTGCTTTCATTATCGGTATGATATGTTGATGAAATTCATGCAAAATTTTCATATGCGGAAGGTATTTTACCAGTTCCCTCTTTATTTGGCTGCATTGTAGAGGTTTAGGCTTTGTTTACGTTTTTGAATGACGCGCCGCGCTCTGACCAATGATGAGCTAGCACACAGCTGAGCTTGCGTCAGCAGCCAATGGTGGCGCGCGTTACAGCTCCCGTGTTGGCGTCCTTCGTTTCATAAAAGCAGAGCGAGGTGCACGAGGCCATAGCCCGGAGGTACTGCGACGTGGTTGGTGCGCTGGAGATTGCTGAGACTCCGCACGTTCCTTTGTTGCTACTCTAGGTAAGAGCTCAGCGCCTGTGCCATTCGCTGCGAGTGTTTGGCGGAGGAGGACGCGGTTCTGCCAGCTCCCCCATCGATTGCTTTGTTACTGCGTCGTGGGTAGCGAATCACGCTCCTCAGCTCCTCCGGTAGCGGTGCCAGTGTTGTGCCACTTCGACTATTGAGTAGGTATTCATATAAAGATTGTACGTGCAACATGTCAGTTGAAAAGAGCGAATGCAATACTTGAAGCACAGCGTAAGCGATTTTCGTACGGGTAGGGTGGGATTTGATTTTGTTGCTTATTTTTAGACGAATGTTTCGTGAGAGTTAGTTTCACTTTTTCCCAGTCATTACTCCAAATTCTTGGTGTAAAATCAGACTGCTTTCAAGGTACATCTGTACTTCGAAAATTGAATTCGTTGCGTCATGTCTTCAAACTCGGGCAGGGCTGTTCGAGAAATTGAAATGCAACGCTCGTCGCTCGATACCTACCTACTGTTCATGTCGTTAGTTTTTGCAAACAGTGGCTACGGTTTGTACGATAAATTCATATAACGCTTGCATGTTTTTATTATTTTTGAAGTTCGCTCCATTTTTTTAAGCCGAAGTGCGAGTATGGAGCGGACGGATTACGTGTAACATAGCATAATGATAAACGATGCTTTGTCGAGACAAAATTCAAACGATTCAGAAAACGAACTTAAATTTGATTTTGGTTCTTACTGAGCAAGTTGCTACCTTCTTTGTGTGATTTTCAGGCTCAGTTATTAGGTAGCCAAAAATGACAACAAAAAAACATTTGTGTAGGTACTAGAAATAAGCATTAAGGACCAAAAAATAAAAAAAAATTGAATGAATGTAACTTTTGATCTTATACAGGAGATCCCTCCCAATCTTGCATTTTGTCTTAATTCTTGGCTCAAATAGGCGTTATTGCGAATATTCTCCATTGTTGAGAGGTAGCTATCTAAATTTTATATCTTCATTCCTTCCATCGTTTTCGACTCGTCGAACTTATAAGAGGGATATATGAACCAGCTGGCTAAAGATCCATTAATGAAGAAACGTCATTATCATACCTTAATCAAAACTAACTATACTATATAACTAACATCAGCCCTAAACTTGAGGAACATATCACACAACCGCTCTTTTTCAGGACTCCACTAGCCAGACTCCGCCATGGGGAGTTACTGGTCTGCCGAAGCCGATGTTAGTAAGGCCTCGTCGTACTTGCATGCACAGAGCCTGTGGCGCCTCTGTGTCTGGGCCAACCCCGTACCTCTTTCGCGATTTATTTCAATGTGGTGTTGGACGTTTGGTCTCCAGTTCATTTGGGCATGAGTGGCTGTGTGCTTGGCGCGAACAGCTGAACACACGCTGTGTTTGCATGATAATGCGTTGTCAATAACGGTCTGCTTTTATCACTTTCCTTGTTGCACAATAAGTTGTCACTTACGTTTTAAATATTGTTTGTTTTCACCGCTTTCTTAATAGCTCTGAATTGATTTTGTAAAACTGCATGTTTTGTGCATACATTCCAAAGTTTTAACTGATTCTAAAAAAAAAAATATAGAAAATACTGGTATGAAACTGGCAAATTGGGTTAGTCACTTTTGTTTGAGTACCTATCATCACGAGGTTTTCAGTGAGGACAAAAAAAAAGTCTGTCTCAGGCACCTAAAGGCTAAACGTCATTGTTTTCAAAATTTTAGTCCACATCTACAAGTCGATATTGGCCACTATGTTGTGTGGCCGTTATCGGGCTGGCGTGCTCCAGCCTGTTGTTGACTGAGGTCCGACGGCGGCGGTGGCGCGCGCAGCTCCCACCGCCCGCCCGCCGTCGACTGGGGGGACCAGCTGGTGCCGCCTTTGTCTGAGTTATGTGTGGCTGGTGGCTGGGCCGCGGTGCGGGCGCCTGCACGCCGGGGTCGACCCCCCGACAGCCGACGACGTCCACCGGACATGGTTGGGCCGACTCAGGCCGACCGACACTCGTCGGTGTGTTCCCCCTCCCCGCCCCCTCGCCGGTGCCGAGCCGTCCAGGTGCTGGCGGAGCTGACCTTGCTGGCTGCGCTGCGGGTGGCGTTGCTGGAGGCGGTGCTGTCAATGTTGGGAGTGGGCTGAATGCCGTTTCCCTGCTGTTCCTTGATTGTCTTGCTACCCTTTTCCCTTGGAGTGCATTATCTTATGTTACCACATCCGTTATCAGCGCACAACTGCCACTTACTTATCTTGCACATGCATGACTGTTCGCGCTTTGCACTTGTGCAAGGTCCAATGGCTTTGTTCTTTGTCCTTGTTAGTCGTAAAGTGTTAATTGATTCTTTGTTAGTTCCCCACTGTTAATTAACGCTTTGATAACAATCCGTTTTCATAATTTATCGTCGCTTCAGTATACATTCTGCATTTTCAATCATTATAGCGGCAATCTGTTGTAAAAACGTCATTTCCAATTAATTCCGGACCTATTCTGGTTCAAATCACTAATTTGGTCACCGGGCTGACGTCGTGCGTCGTTATCTAGGTGCCCGATTGGCAGGTGACTTACACTCTTGAATCATCTATCGCAGTTTCGGAGGCTATGCGCCGGCACTGTCGAGCCAAACGTCCAATCTTTGCTGACAGATCTCTGCTTACCTGACGCCACTTTTATGTACTGACAGTCGAATCGCCGCTCTGTTGCAGCCCAACGCGGATCCCAACGCAACCGTCGACATGGCCACTGGAGACTGTAAGTTGTATTTGATCATTTGATCAGCCAGTGATGAGGTAGATGTTGATGTAGAAGTAGACTCTACTCGTGAAAAGCATGCTGCATGTGGTACTCTCGTGAATATTCTTATGGCGTGACCGACCCACTCCTTTCCTAACCCATGACTGCTGAGAGTGATGCTGAACCGTGAGAATCTCCATATTTCATACCAGCTGCTGACCTAAAATCCCGGCATCAGCAACGAGATATTGCGACAGTATGAACTGGTCTGAACTTGTGGCGTAGATTCGGGCTCATTTCAATTCATGCTATGGATATGAGGCGCATAAACAAGACCAACGTCGAACTCTTGAAGTAACGCAGCTGTCTCGATTGGGCGACTTCAGACCCGCAGCCCCCTGACACTGTGAGCTCCTCTCCAGCTATCTCTCCAGCAGACTGTCCTACACCGTCCCTGAATGAAGTGTCCGGCCACCGGCCTGTATCGGCGGGCCACGCGGCTGACTCACAGGAGCCCCACTGGCGGCGCCATATCGATTGTGGCGAGCGCAGTGACTCTTACGGCGCTTGCTCCCTGCGGCGGCGACGCCCCTCCGTCGGCCCCGGCTCCAGTCGCCGCGTCGATTTCGACGTTGGCGAGGCGCAGGGCGTGTCCACTCGTTGTCGAGCCCTGTCGACGCTCGGACGGTCACTCTGTCTGCTGGCCGACGCCGGTCAACACTTGCAGCCATGATTTTCGGCCTCATCAAGGGTTCTGTGTATAGTTGCTTTTGCAACAGTTGCTCGACGCCGGCGATCGCAGCCAGAGGTGAGGTTGCGCTGCTGCAGTGCTTTGTCCTGGTGTTGGTGTATTGAACCGTGAAGGGTTATTCTCTGGTGGTCAGGGTGAGTGAACTAGGCTCCCATGGGCCCGGGCCGGAAGGGTGGGTGGAGAGTGGGGTGGCTGGTTTCAACACCTTGACCTGAAGGGGTGGAGGGGCGTCGTTAAGCAAAATTCACCGACAACTTTCATCTCCCAAATAGGTGGTCATCGTTTTCCTCTGGCTGGGACGCCCTTTGCGAAACTAGGCGCAGGCTCCGGCTGACCCGCTGTGCCCACCTGCAGGGAGGGTGGGGTGGTCGGGCGCTGACCCCAGTTCGCGTTGGCGGTGGGTTTGGGGCGCGCTGGACCGCGCCCAATGCACGCGGTGCATTGCGCCGCTGTTGGTGCTGTAATTCCGGCCTGGAGTTAACATCACACGCTCAATGAGAATCTGGTTTCTTTTGCACCTTATGGTGAAAATCGGCTTGTGAAAGTGTCAGGATCTTCATCTTTATTGACGCTTTTCTGAACCCTCGAATATTCGAAATTCTTAGGCGATGACTGCTCGATTGAAAGACATCGGAAAGCCGTATAGTTGATTGACCTGAAGTGCAATGTGCCACTGAGTGACTCGTGTGCAGTCGTGTTTCGGGCCAGGCGGGGTGGGGTGTGGCGGTGACTCATAGGGACGGACGGGCGGCGCCGGCGGCGGTCTGGGTCGGGTCACTGGCGGTTGCCACGGCAACGAGCGCCGCCGGCGCCGGACCGGCACCGCCCCGCCCTCCCCACCCCGCCCCGCTCCCCCTGTCGCGAAGCGGTGCGCACTGCGCAGTGCCCCCAGGGATTTTCGCCAAAAGACGGCGCCGCTAATTGTTTGCTCGCGTGGCTCTTGCGGCGCCGGAGCAATAGCTGTCCCCCTGGATTGGGTGGTCGCACTGCCCGCTGGGCTGACTGAGGCACTGTGGCAGTCGGGCGGGCTATTGGGCCGATCCGGGTTTTGGGTTTACGGTCCGGCTCGATTCGGCTTCCATTGGATGATTGGCTCGTCGGAAATGTTCTGTTGAAAGTTGTGTGGCGGTGATGGTTTCTGGACTAAAACTCGGAAACTTTTGGTGTCAGCTTTTAGCCTCGGTTGTTCTATGTGGATAAATTCGATAGCTTCAGACGCTTCCTTTGTCCGTTTCGTCGAACGGATGTGCGTGCTTTTTGCTGTTAAAACCTCACGCACATATAATGGTTGATCCCTGGGATTAGTTATGACAAAGACGGCTAACTGATGTCCATCTATGGATGAAAAATGCCCGTGCGAGTGTGAAGAAGTAGGTAATTACTTCGAAGTGAATTCAGGAATTCGCTGATAGTTCTTATCAACGCCTGGGTTGAGAACATGAACCCTGACTCGAAATTGATGCGATTTGCTTCGAGCAAAATAACTGAATCCCAAGTGATTCAAGCGCAGTTTTCTCTGCCGGGCAAAAAGCAAAGCACGACGTTATGGGCTTTAAAATTGTTATGGGCACAAAATTTGCCAAACACAAGTAACTCTGAGACAAGCTCGTTTCATGCCCATCGAAAAACATTTTTCCTCTGTATGCAATGGTTGTGATGAACTGTTGCGATAAACTGCTTGGTAAGGAAAGCTGTCACAAATGAACAATCTGGTAGAAATATTGTGTCATTTATGTGAAGTACTGTCACCTTCAGAGTCGTGAGACATCGGAGATTTATTTCTGCGGAACTTTCCACCTTCCGTTGCTGACGTCACGGCGCCCGCTGCGGTGCCCTCTAACCCCCCCCCCCTCCCCTGAGGGGTGGCTTTAAACGCCAGTGGCAGTCTCGACTGCCGCCCCGCAATCGATAGAGGCCCGTGTTACTGCGCTGCCCGAAACATGACGGGCGCCGCCCCGTCGAAATGTCAGTCGGCGAGTCGAAGAATCCAGCCCTCACCGGCTCAGTGACACGGGAGGTCGGCGGCTGTCCCCACCAGCGCGCGGGGAATTCAACACAGCAGCAGCCGTTGGGAGACCGTTGGTGATCGCTTATGCATGTTGTGAGTCGTTGAGAGCACGTTGCGGCCTGCAGCGCCGATTTGAACTCTCCCGCCTCCCCAGTCGACAGCACGGTTGCTGCTCCCGCTGCAGACAGCTGCCGACCAGCTGAGCGAGGCTGGCACGGTGCCAGAAACGTGCCCGTTTGGCCGCAGTGCCTCGTCGCAGTCTCCGTCCCTTTGTTGTGGAGCTGGGCCCGCCTCCGGGCAGTCAGCTGATGCACAGGATAGCCAAAGCGGCGGGGTACGAAGTTTTCACCATTACACTTGCAAATTGTGTGGGAAAATTGGATTAGTCTCCGCATTGCCCACTCGGGGGAGGCTGGGAAAGTCGCCCCCACCGGACTGGCAGTCCTTGAGACGACTGGTCGGCGCTCGCTGCCGCCGTCCCGGAGCTGGCTGTGCAGCCATCCTGTACCGCTTTGTTCGCGAGGCCTGCCAGCGAGCGGCGCACGCGGCCGTCCAAGGCCATTTGTGTTGATGTTTTCAGCCCGGACACGAGCACTGAGGTGGGCGGAAACGAAGGACGCCGCTCGCCAGGTAGAAGCCGATCCGACAGATTTGACCTGACTTGCCGATGCCGTGACAGAGATTACAAAAAAGTTCGAGATCTTTGAGGTTTGACGATTTGACCTTCGATGAGAGGACAATCTTCGTTCTGGCTTTACTTTGTTTCGTTTTCTATCTCGTAAAGCTGAAGCCCTTGCTGAAAGCTAGAGCTTGACTGGGCCAAGCTGCCCCCTGCGGGTGGGTTTGACTGCTCGCCAGAGGCTAGCAGTCTATTTTTGTGCGTGGCCTGCGTGTCTGGCACGCTGCTCGGCCCAGCCGCTCTCCGGTGTCAACATTGAGCGCGGTGCGTGTGCTGACGCGGCCTTGTGGCCGTGCCCCGGTTGGCAGCCGCCACGGGGCTGGAGGGATGCCATCGGTGACGGGACTGTCAGCGTCACACGGCCACAGGTGGTGATGAGACGGTGGTGTAACGGATGACCGAGTATGAATGTCGTGGTCTGATGCAAGCATTGTAATGCAGGCTGCTCTGCCTTTTGTTTGCAGTTTGATATTTGTCCAGCCTTGGGATGAGAATATTGTATTTCAGTCAAGAAATGATTATTTCGCAGACACTGGCAAACTTGAGTTACCTCTCCGAGTGTGCTGTCGTCACGATGGTTTCAGTATACTGCCGGAACTGAATGCCCATTCACAAGAGTTCATCTAAGGCTTTTCGAGCAAACGACGAGAGTTTTGTTTGCCTCGTCTAGACGCTCTCCGTCGGATAGGATATCAGCGTTGAGAGACAATACGTCCGTTGAACTTTACAGGGTTACTTCGACAGTGTTTTCATTGTCTCAATATCTATCGGTTCAGCTCTCAATTCTGTTGACGCGGCGTCCCAGCTAGGAGCGGTGACCACAGGGGCTCAGTTTTCTCCGGGGCCCTCCCTTCCCTCCCGGGCGAGCCGGACTGCGCAGTTACCGGGCCCCACACCCCTAAACAGTGCTCATGCACGTGGTAGTCGCGTGGCGCGCGCTGGCTGCACAGCGCTTTAAACCGCCGCGCGCCGCTCCCCGCGCGAGCTGTCAGCTGGACCATCAGCTGGTGCCGAGGTCACGTGACCAGCTCAGTGCCCCTCTGGGGGAGGGGGAGGTGAATTGCGCAGCAGTGCGCGGCGGTGGCCTTGCGGCGCGACGCGGTGCGTTGGGAGCGTTGCCCCGGGCGGTCCTAGACCCGGAGTTGGAGCCGGAGTCGCGGCCGCCCGTGGGCGGCACCGGCTTTACCTGCGCTGTTTGTTGCCGCTCGGGACATAACTGCGCCACGCGAGGCCGGTGTGGCGGTCCGACTGGACTGAATGGCCTCAGTACTGCCGGGTTAGGGCGTCCGCTGGGGTTAATCGGGGCGCCAGGGGTCACGGGAGGGTGGGGGAGGTCAGAGGTCGCCAGTTGGAGAGCTCTGTCTCGCGGACGCCGCCTTTTCTGGTGGTCCGGTGGGGCGCTGGATAAGAGGGTCGTTCCGGGTCGGTTTTTGTTGCCGTTTTAGTTTTGGTCACGGCTCCATTATTCCCAAGCCGGCTCGTGGTGTGTCCCGCTTGGCCGTGGGCCGGCTGCGACCTCTCTTGGTGCGCTGTCTCACTGTGTGCCGCCGCTACCGCCGCAGACCGACGCGGGGTGCACGTATCTGCCAAGAAGAACAACAAGC